AAGAACATAAAGATATGTAATTATGTTTGTATGTATGTATAATATACATTGTATATATATATAATATATTATGAACTCTTTTGTTTCACAATCTCATTATAATAGCTATGTTGATTATTCAGTCAATGCATTTTTCAACTCCTTTGGTCCTTACCTTTTATAATATTTTGAATTATTTCTGTTATAAATATTATACGATATCGTACTGTTCTGTTTAAATTATTGTTGTATTCAAAATATGAGAATATACCCAACACCAAAAGAATGTATTTTTATCATTGATATAACTCCGTTGACATCATAAATTCGATGATAAGGTTTTACACGTAGATACATTGTAAGTTGTGTAACATTTTGGGCTCATCTTTTGTATTCTCCATTCGCCGGGCTTTAAGGTAACAGGTATCTCATGAGCCATGAGTCACCCTTAAGCACAATAGTGTTCTTACATTTATCAGACAAAAGACAATTACTTAAAGTTACAGAATTAATACATATAGAAATTTCGTTAGAACCGTTCAAAGTACTGGTATGAATCATGTTGTTTTCAGTTGATTTAAATTTGTTTCCCAGTATTATTACGCGGGGATAACATTTTACACATTCATAACGGTGATTCTAGATAGAAAGTCAATTAAAAGGTGTTTAAACATCAAAAAATACGTTAAATAATTATATTATAAATATTAGTTATAGACATAACAGGTAAAATGTGCAGAAAACCTTGCACTACGATGGAATTTAATACAACCCCATCCGTTACGTACGTGAAGTTGCCCCCTCCCTCTTTGTCCTATCAGTTTCAAACTAATTCCAAATATATATAAATTAATTGTAAATAATTGTAAATATAATTTTGGAATTTTTAAACTCCCAGGAAATCTGGAAAATCAAAATCAAATTATTATAATAATATTATACTATTATTATAAATTTTCAAATAACGGGACAGTTAAATGATTGAACAAGAATGGTTTCAAAATTTTAAAATCTATGTTTACTGAGGACAGTAAACTGTCAGGAATTAAAACAATCAATTCTGAATACAACGTAACATAGATTAAAACAGAAATTTTTCAAAATTTCCATCAGCTATTGATTTTACTGTATGCAATAATACTTATACATCATGCAAAAATAAAAACACGAAACTTCAAATAATTTTATTAAACCACCATGTTGTAATAGAAATCAACAACTTGAAGAAGCTTTAAATGATTATATAAATAAAATACACTATATTTGTTCTTAACCTCACGGCAATGGAGAAGTTTCTCAACACAAAATGCTACAAAATTATTAATTTATTAAAGCTGAAAAAATTGAAGACATATGTGAATTTGAGATTTTCCAATTTTCCAATGACTGTTAAAATTAAAAATTAAATATATGATTTAAATTTATTGTTGCAAAATGATTTCATCATAAATTGTGATTATTTTATTTTGTTATAAAGATTAATATTTAATAGATCTATAGAGTTTGGAAATAGGCATTATGTGAGTCACATTCAGTGTTAAAATGCATAATGGAAAACGCACGACTTCGCAAAAAAAAAAATTATAAATTATTAATTTCCTCAAAAACAAAAGGTTTCTTTTCATTTGATTGTTTATACTGAACCGTAATTGCTAGGTTAATATAATAGTTTGCTTCTAAATATATTTTAATTATTTTATTACATTAAAGTGTACAAAATTCCTTTTTTTTTTAGTTTTTATATTTAAGGTTATGATGTACAAGTAATAGTTATATTCTGATGCACTATTACAAAGGCGGTCAAGCTTTTTTCAGCCACGATCTACTAAAAATATTATTAAATACAGTAAAAGTAGACCTTAAATAAGACAGAAACCCCGGTATGACAAACATTTTTTTGGTCCCGTTTCAAATTACATATAATTAACTGACCCCGTCAAGACGGAAACCCCGTTACACAGAAAAATGTCATGGTCCCAAGTGATTCCGTCTTATCGAAGTTTTACTGTAATTATAATTATTAAGAAACATACTTGCTTAAAAAGTATATAAATATACATAAAGTATAATAAACTAATTACTAAAAATAATTTAATAATTTCTAAAATCTAAATACTTAAGTCTAATTAACATATTAATATTTATTTTGTTGATCTGGGCATTGTTAAAGTGCACGTGGCTTAAAAAAATAAATTCTAACATTATCGACTCTAAAATCGTTCGCGATCGACCGTTTGGCCACCCATGCACTATTAGGTACCTAGTTCGTACATTTAATTAATTTACAAAATAATAAAAATATGACTTTAATTTATTTAAATTTGTGAAAATCAACTATATCATTAAATAAGCAATTGATTATATTCAATATATTATTCCTTTTATATTTATAATAAAAAATATATACAATATATAATAATATTGATAATTTTAGTGTTCAATAAATATCTAAATTGTAGTAAAAGTACTAATTCAAACTTTTAAAAATGAATTAAAAGATTTTAATTATTACTAATAAGTTATTAGTTATGACTTACAAGTAATAACATAACCTTTTCGTTACGGTAGTAAAATAAATTAACTTTTCAATTGGAAAAGTACAAGTGAAAACGTATCTTAGAAAAAAATATATAATATATGAATTGACTTAATATTTTCGATTTTTCAGTTTCTTTGGAATTAATTATTGTCATCATATTATACACTATATTAGGTAGGTAATATAACAAGTTCGACTCGTTACTAATATTATACTTTAAAGGTACCACCGTAAAATAAATATTAAGTCCATGCTATAATGTAAAAATGTATTTATAATTTGATCTTAACCTATATTATATCTTAACCTATATCTCCTAACCTATATTTATCAAGTAAAATTATTTTCACAATATTTATAGCGAAAACATGATTTTTTTTGGTATTTGTAAAATTATTGAGTAATTATCATATCGATATTGTGAATTGGGATGTATAAAATTGTTGTTTAAAATTATTGAAGATTTGCTGATTATCAAAAATTACAAAACCAATTTGCTAATATTTACTAATTATATACATGATTTAAGCGCATAATGATAAAATATTTTTAACAATAGTATAATATATTATAATAATTTGATTTTTCGAGTTCCCTGGTGATTTACAAATTCCAAAATTGCATTTACAATTATTTGAAACTATAAGACAAAATGGGAGGGGGGGTGGTAAACTTCATGTCCGTTCGTCCGATGGGATGATTGTCAACTGTGCAAAAATTCAAAATTCGCGTATGATATTCAGTTATTCTCGTGAGTTTTGGTTTTCCGCAGTTTTCGCAATTTCGACATTCGATGGTGATCACCGGCTGGTCCCCCTTTTAATGAAGCCTCTTGAATACTTTTTCCAATATTTTAGATTAAAATGTTTTTATTATAAACCAGAAAAAATAATATGAATAATAAAGAATTCTAACAACACTATAATAATAGTAAAATTTGAAGTGATTGATGACCGTGAAGACCTATTATGTAAAAATTAAACAATGACCGATGTTTTTAAATATACACCGTAACCAAATTCTATGAATATAAAAATTCAACTTGTTGTAAATATATACCACGTGCCACGAAATTATACAAATATAACTTTCGTACAACTGTATTCACTAATTTATACTTGGCGTATACATTTGTATTAACTTTTTCCTGCACATTGTGAAAGATCGTTTTCCAAGTTATAAGTAATAAAAACAAGATTAAGATCGTCAATTAGTCAAAAGCTACAATAGCTTCTGTTACAAATTAAAATCGAACAAGACAAAATTCCTGATTTAGAAGAAATAATAAGTTTTAATTCTCATTCATCGACAAAAAAAAAAAAAAAAAGGCTTTTATATTAATCATCAATATTCATAATTTATGCATTCGATTAAGTAATTCTTGTATATTTATATTTTCTAAGTGTACCAATGTGCGCCCGGGTCACCACTGATTGACACGTTACTACCGCGATCGAGTGCGATGATCATCGGATCGCGTTATTAATGCGGAAAAAGTCCCAAGTCTGCTGCCGGGACACTGACGGGTGAGCGTGAAGAGTCCAATAATGGGGCGAGACTGGTTCGTACCCCGAAAACGTGGCGGAGTCGGACAGGGGCGTATTTTGGGGGGAGGGCGAAAGGGGCGATCGCTCCCTCCCTGAATCCGTAATTAAGGAATCGATTATACGAGTATATGAGATATACATTACAAATTTTTTTTAATGTGGATCATTTTATAACGAAATCTAATTACACATGGCTGTGAATACTGAATTGAGCTTTTTTTTCGGAACCATCTTAGTGAAAAATCAAAAAAAACACAAGCGTAACTCAAAACACGGGCAAGTGTTAAAAAAGAACTTCATAAAAGTCGATTCTAAGTGGATCTGAAATTAGATGAAAAAAAAAAAACTACAAATATTAAGGATTCACGAATTAAATATTACCAGCATTAGACTTGTACATTTTGAACCTGAACTAAAGAAGAAATTTGAGTCGCCTCCCCCTAGAAGTAAGTCTAAATACGCTGGTTGGCGATCTCGGAGTGGGCAAACGTCGTGCACGGCGACTACGCGGCGTGTCGCCCGAAACGAATTCGGACGACGATCGCAATTTGTAACCGTAGCGCATCGTAAGAACATGGTTGGGGGGGGGACGGTATGGTTCGCGGAAGTGGATCAAGTCCGGCGGCGGTCGTCCGGGGAACGTTCCGAAAACGTAACGCAACGATTGCCATAATCAACGACAACGACGATTACAAATGTTGGCGACCGGTAAACGGTTCACGTACGTTTCAGAGAACGTACCGTACGTTGACGGGTTGCGCACGTTTCGCGGTTACGGTCACGGCGGCGGCGCGCGCGAGAAGAGCGGGGCCAAGCCGCAGAAATGGCTGATTGGCTTCGGCGGCGGCGGTGGCGGCCGACGGCAGCCGATACTCGGCTGGAACGAGCGTGAAAGCGTAACTGGCACACGGAGCATCGGATGTGTCGCAAGTGTTATAAATACGAACGGGGCGAACGGTTCGAGCGTCAGTCAGTGATCGGTCGTCGATCGCGCGATCAACAGCAGCGGTGCTGAAAACACGGTGCACGGTCGTCAACGGTACAGGTGTAGTTAAGTGCGCGCGCGGTGTTAAGTGGTGTTCGAGTGCGCGCGGTCGTCCACGCGGGCTGACAACCGTCGTCGGCAACATGCGGCGGCGCAAAGGGCTCCACGCGATGCGGCCCTGCGTGCTGTTGGTGTACGTCTCGGTGTGCTTGGCGATGTTCGCGCGGCCCGGTCTTTCGCGACAGATACCCGCGGGACCGGTTGCCGTCTTCGATGCCGCCGGGTCGTCGTCGGCCGCCGGTGAATATGACCCGAAGGCCGTGGTGGCCGCCGAGACCCAACAACAGTCGGTCGTCGCGGTGCCCTCGTCGTCGTCTTCGGCTTTGGCGCCGGCCCAAGACCAGGCCGTAGCCGCGTCGCACAAGAAGAAGAAGAAGAAGAAAAAGTCGTCCAAGAAGTCGTCCAAGGGCGGAGGGTCGAAGAAAAAGTCCGATCACCATTCGAAAAAGGGCCACAAGTCGGACAAGGGATATAAGACCAAACATCACTTCGACAAGGGCGACAAGGGCAAGCACGGCAAGGAAGAGCACGAAGGCCACTACAAGAAGGAAGGCGGTCACAAGAAGAAGAAACACGACGAGGCTGAGAAGTACGGGCACCATCACAAGGGCGAGAAGGGCCACAAAGGCGCCAAGTTCGGCGAAAAAAAGGGTCACAAGAAGGGGCACAAGACCAAAGGATATCACAACAAGTTCCATAAGGACGAGTACCACAAGGAGCATAAGTTCTACGACGACTTCCACAAGGGCGGACACCATAAGAAGCACGGCTCCCACCACAAAAAGCATGCGAGCAAGGAGGGTAAGCACAAGAAAGGCGCGCACCACAAGTCTGCACATCACGCGGACAAATATGGCAAGAAAGGACACAACGAAAAGGGCCACTACGATAAAGAGCACAAGGGGCATAAAGGCAAGAAGGGACACGACGAACACCACTCGCATCACGAAGACTACGGGAAAAAGGGCGGCCACAAGCACTTCAAGAAGTACGGCTACAGCAAAAAGAAGAAGCAAGGATAAAGGACCGACCGCGTGCATTAACCGGACAAAACAGCCAAGTTTTATCGACGTACTGAAACACTTAGTTTGTTTTACGATTATTTCTATTATTATTATTATTATTATTATTATTCCAATATTTAATATTATTATTATTATTTGTTATTTATATCATTTTGTGTATTGTTTTACATACAGATACATATACACGCGTGCGCGCGCGTATATTTTATGTAATAATATAATAACAAAAACCAAGCATATATAATTATGTGTTAGACGTTGAGTTTCATTTTCTTAACACCGCAAGACCGATTAGAGTTTCCACGTCCCCCACTCCGTGTTTGGCCGTCGTAATATTTCTCGACGATAGGCTCGCATCGATTAGACACATTGCGCAATCCTATCGAAATATTCGTAAGCGAAAAACTGTGTACATAAAATTTATGCACGTATATTGTACATATAATAATAATATATAATAACGAATCGGAACCGCGGCATGACCGTCGCTGCCTTGGAGTCTAACGTGGGAGGTTACAAGCCGTATGTCACGGGACACACGTAGTCCTTGACGGGGGGTGGTGAATGTAAACTTTCCCCATAAGTTATGACATGGTCTTGATAACGACCTGGGACGCGACAAGGGTTGGGATCCGTTTTGAATTTGTACTATTCTGCGCATTATATACCTCTTATCCGTGTGTGTAATGAATCGGAATGTAATCGGAAAGTTCTGTAAAAAATTCTTAAAAATCCTTAAAAACTCTTTCGGTGCATAAATATTTAAAATAAAAATAATTTAACATATTTTTATAAATCTTATTAAATAATATGTGTTTTAATCTAGTGATAATTTTAGGTTTTCCTGAATTTACTTTATAACCGTAAACATTCATGCTCGGTGATTCTCGAAACGTTTTACTAAACTATGAACTATTTTGTTATTGTTTATATACTACTAGAACTATCTAACCTTTTATTGCCCATTATCCGAATACCTATACACACTCACTGAAAACATCATTTGATTCGATCCTTCACTTGAAGTTTTCTCATCATTTGTATTTGAGACTTCCCACGTCATTCTCGATCTTCTTGAATGTATTTTTCCTGTTCCCTTAAAAGTTGATAGTTATTACTTCTCGCCACATTTCTTGTCCATTGCAATCTTCCGTTTTAGATGATTTCTAAAATACTATTTTCGCTGTACTTTTCAATTGGTTTCTAACTCACTTGTTTACTTTCGCGCCAATGAATACAAAATATGAACCATAAAAATAAAAATAAAATACAAATAATTAATATTTTAATATATAAAAAAAACTATCAATATATCAAATATTTAATTTAAAACATATTTTAAAATTAATAAACGTTGAAATATATTTACTCGAGTACTTAACGACTTTATAAAATATAATACCGTGTCAATTAGCAACTCATCGTTGTAATTACTCAAAATATACGACATTAATTTATGTCAATAGTTTACGCAGCAGAATAGAGCTAAGCCGATTTCCTTTCGCTTAACCATTGATAATCTGTAATTTATAGTTCATGCATAACTGACGGTCTGATATTGCACAAGTTTTAAAGTAAAACTCTGTGGACTTGTATAACGTATTGAAAACAAAAATTTAAGCCTTTGGTAACTTCCGAGAATATGGATGGTTACCTAGTAATCATATAGCGCGTGAAAATGGTTATGTTACAGTATAAAGTTGTAGTTTAGGAATCGCCTTAAAAACTAAGTACCAACTTTCGTAGTGCATCTCGTTGTACACGTCGAATGCGCTCTACTAACTGGTTTGTAACAGTATTGTTTGGCAGTGTTACTTGTTATATCATTGGCTAATGGTAATAAAAGCAATGGTAAAAGTATTAATACCCGATGGCATAAAGTTTTCTTTCGTCCTAAATCCGGTAGCAGTAGCGATATTACCTCGGTAGTATGCAAGTACCTTGTAGTACGCCAGGGGTGTATTCGAGAGACGGTCTCCTTCGAGTTTTTCATGGTTTCGGACGAGTAATAAATTACTTTTCTAGTCTCAGTCAGCAAACATGTAAATATGAGATATGAATATTTAATCTTTGAAACCTGATTGATTTATAGTATCGATTGTATCTGCTTGTGTATGCATGTGTTTAAGTGAATGAAATTTAAATGATAATAGAAGGGCGATTTGGTCGAGAAGCATTCACCTATGACGGTATTACAGTTATCACGCCACTGATGTGCCATCGAACGCGGTCAAACGGTTCGAATGGTAATCGTACATTACTGCATTAAGTGACAATTGTCGACACGATGGAAAAGTACTATTATCGCATTTATATCCGCGGTGCCGGATTATTGTATGAGTACTTTCGTCTCAAAAACGTATTGTTATGTATCAATCATTATTAGTATTTTGTTATCAACAACTTTTGTACAAATAACCTATATTTTATATGTTAATTTATTATTTTATATGTAAAAATCCGATTGGCGTTAATATCATTAAATAAAAAATATCCGATTAAATCCATAACGATGGAAGGAATAGAACCCATTTCAAAAGTATAGAATAAGTAAAAGCTTTACAGTAATTTTTGTTCGTATACAACATAATATTATGATTATGTGTACCATGTGGTAATCGTTTTCATGTTTCTTAGATAATATGTCTCTAAGCCGATCGCCTCCCTACTTTTTATTACGAAAAATATTACGGATGCTCATTTGAAAAGTGTATGTATATGAATAATATAATTTTTTAGGTAAATCTTCTACAGAAAAATAAAAAAAATTCGTATTTTATGCGTTTAAAAAAAAAAAATCCCAAGAGATCCTTTTTAATGTAATATTTGTTTTGTTATTTTTTTTCTTCTTTTTTTATGTCTCTGGAAATCATTTTACGGTCTGAAACATTTATATAATACGCATGCCGACAACTACGATTGTAGGAGATGAAGAGGAGAAGTGGAAGGACTACTACTCGACGAAAATTCGGTATTCTGGACACGCGATTCTTTCCGCAGATAATGTTTTTTTTTTATTTTTTACTCCCTGAACGCATCCTTTAATTACCAACCATCCGCGGCCGATTAATGCATTTGTAATTGGAAAATGGCGTGGAAAAGGTTAAAACCCTCTTGTGTGGTGGTGGCAGAATTAGTACGAAATTGTGCACTTAAAAATATATATACAGCGTGTATCTATTATACGACTATATATATATATATTATATAAATTATATAGTATATTATGTAGTCGAACTCGAGAGGAGCGAGCAAGCGGCAAAATGAGTGGTTTGGATTTTCGTGAAATTTATATGATAATAATTTAAATTATTACGGAACTAAAAGTCAACAACAACGATTCGTTAACCCTTACAATGCTGCTGTTGATGATGATAATGATGATGATGCTGCTGTTCCTGTCGCTGTTACCGAAATCGCAAATTACACAATCATGCGGAATATTTCAAATAACAAATAACGAGAGTTTAGTTGCACAGGTTGTGTGTGGTGTATACCACTACCTACATGTACATTTAATTATAGTTTTCCCAGAACCCGTGTAATATTGTGTTCCTTTTTTTTTTTTTTTTAATGGATATCCCTCACACATACACGCATGTAATATTACATCGTTATATACTTAGTTTTAAAAAACTAACGTAGACAAATTCAAATTAAGTAAGTTTAAACTTAACGAGCAACTTTTAGCGGAACTGTTTACTGTTATTTTTAATGCTAGCAATTTATTTTGATTTAAAACTATAGATAATATTCTTAAAACGGTTGAAATAACTAATCATGGTGGAAGTATCGACTTATTTTTCCGGTGCATCCGAATCGCATGCCAAAAAAATAAAAATAAAATGGAATGTCTGAACTGCATTCCACGTCTTAGAGGGGTCCATATCATAAAGAATAAAAGTCAAAATAATGTTTAAGTTGTGCACATAAGTGGATGATAAATATACTTGTGGGTACACGGCATACCTCTCTAAGACGTGGCATACAATTCGAACTGGCCCCTCTATGACGTGGCATGCAATTCGGTCAAACCTCTTTAAGAGATGGAATGTAATTTCAACATTCCAATTTATGTTTATTTTTTTGGCATGCAATTCGGATGCACCGGGAAAATAAGTCGATATTTCCACTATGATTATTTATTTCAACCGTTTTAAGAATATTATTTATAGTTTTAAATCAAAGTAAATTGCTAGCATTAAAAATAACAGTTAACAATTCCGCTAAAAGTTGTTCGTTAAGTTTAAACTTACTTAATTTGAAATTGTCTACGTTAGTTTATACGTTTATGTATATTTATACAGATATCTATATTATATGTACATGCAAGTATTGTTAATATTATTATTATTATTATTATTATTATTATTATTATTATTACTATAATTATTATTGTTGATGTTACACAAACGTACCCATCAGCACCACGTCAAAGACTTTTCCATGGGTATAATATACCATCAAATGTAATGGAATATTATTCTGATCGCAAATACTAAACAAACGATTGGCTTCGGAACAAAAACAATATCGTATCGTTTTAAAAAGCCGTAACGGTGTAACTACGAAAAGTAAGGTGTACTTATACATTCTACTAGGGTCGTTTTTTTCTCAGTACGTAATATATTTCCTCTTATTGTTTATTATAAAGATTTAGCAATAAGTCAAGACCGTACCACGCGTAATATCATAAGTAAGTAACGTCCGAGAATCGAAAGATTTGGCCTCGGTCGGAACACTGGATTTCGGTTTATAGATTTATTGAGGTATTGTTCTTGTTTCTCGAAAAAAAATCTTAAATAATTCATTACACAGTTTATTATTTATTTAGTGAAATAATGCTTTTAAACTCATTATTATATGACCGTCGTTCAACGTAAATCATTAACAACAGTAGATCACTGCGCAACAGCAGATTATTCGTACACTGTATAGATATATTACATATATTTCATGTACGACCAATGAAAATAATTAGGTTGAAACCGAGATCATTACTAGTACCGCTTTTCTAAGTTTCACACGCGCTCGTATGGATTCGGTGAAAAAAGCCACTCCTGTACGTATGCGTTATTTGATTATAAACGCGATTCACTTATAAAAAACAAAGTTTTTT